ATGCCAGTGTGCATGAATAAAGTATGAGTGGACCCTTTCATTTGTCCTCTGTGGCTGTCCTAGAGGCCACAATGGTACAGTACAGGGGCCTGCCACCCCCAAAGCCAAAGGTATTTACGACAGGGCCCTCTCCAGAAAGGGCCTCCTGACCCCGCTCTACACACCCAGGCAGAATGGTCTGGCTTTTTAAAGCACAGTCAGAGTTGAGCACAGTGGAGAGCAGTATTTACTTGCCCCCCAGTGTGGGAGCTAGAGGTGATATACAGGTGTGTTCTTTTTAAGATTGCAGGCCTACAAACGCAGACTTGAAAATGGATCAATTAAAAGGTAGTTATTTGCATAACAAAGTTTCCTTTTCACTTCCTAAGGGCTTCACCGCAGGGCTCCTTTGTGGAGCGGCTCTCTATAATACACGCTAACACGATTCCATTTACAAATACTCTTTTCAGAATAACTTTCTAAGAACCTTCCTATTGTGTACGGTGCGAATTAGCTGTAATCACCCCCTGCCCCACAGCAACGGAAGGTTTTCTCCGTCTGGAAAGTAACTGAGCTGACCTTTGAGTGTCTCCAAGAAGGGCTTTGACGTGTAGTCCCAGCCTTAAGAAGGCTGAGGCAGGAGCATTGCTTGAGCCCAGGTGTTCCAGACTGGTCTGATGATCACAGCAAGACTTCAGGGTCCGTATGCCAACATAATAATAGCAACAACAGTGTGAAGGCTGTGGCCTCCAAGTGTCTGTAGTATGTGGCATTGGGGATATAATTTTACAGTTTTTCAAGTGTCTGTATTATGCAGTATTGGGGGTATAATTTTATAATTTTTCAAATGTCTGTATTACGTGGCATTGAGGGGTATAATTTTACAGTTTTTCTAGCTTTTTTTTTAACCTGAACACAAAGTTCAAAATAGCAAACTTTTCACTGTTCTCTTTTCCTACATAAATAAACAAATAAAATTATATTTGTGGCTAATGTTCTGATAAATGTGTAGTCAGCAATATTCATAAAAGCATTCTCTTTCTCTCTCTCTCTCTCTAATTGCAAGACATTATGCTGTCTGAATTACAACACAAACTGGGACAGGCATTCAGATTAGAGCTGTCCCCAGCAAAATAGGAAGTGGTGTGGCTGATTCAATTTAGGACCCAGCTTCCTCTTTCGTTAGGTCCTGAGCCTGAGTCTCGCTTAGTTTTGTGCTGTTATGCAATTGCTCCTTTTAAGAGAGACATAAAATGGAAGCCTTGGCTATTCATAGCCAACTTGGGAGGAGCTGAAATTGTTCAAGAAGTTTCTTGCCTGCTGCCATTTTGATGATAGCTGGTTTTCTATTTCAACCGACTTCTACACGGGATTATGTTAAAGGACTGCCTAGTGCCTTTTGTTTTTATCTTATGGTGATGATGTTTTAAAAGTAGGCAAACGTTCCTTGTATATAACTTGACTATTTTCCAGGGTGATTTTTCCCCCCTAGTAAAAGCAGCTTACAAGGAAATTCAAGGACAGAGAAGATCAGCCCAGGCATTCCTGTGTGGCGTCCCCCTGTGGTGAGGCTGATCTGTGTCTCAGGGCTGCTAATGGATTATGTGTGAGAGAGCCGCAAAGGGCTGCGGGAAGCAGACTGGCATTAGACCCCCACAAATGGCATCATCCGTGGTGTACAGCTTAGGGGGAAGGCTGCTGGAGGCAGCTGGCTGCCCCTGGAGCTGCAGCTTCTCATGCTGTGTGGCAGGTGGCACTTCAGCCATTTCTAAAGCCGGTCCCTGGCAGGGAAGGCGCACCGAGTCCATCTGTGAAGAGGGAGGAGTCTGGAAGGGGGTCCCAGAGATCAGGAGCACAGAAATGACAAAGAACAGCCTGAAGGCATGTTCAGGCCCCTGCTCTCCCTTCCCCCTTCCCTTCCTTCTTCCCTTATTCCCTTCATTGTTGCTGCCCCATTTTCAATCCCCAGCGCATATATATATATTTGTTTCCCAAATGTAACATGTAGTGGTGACAGGTGCAGATGATTCAACAAAAAAGTAAATAAATAAAAAACAAATCAATATTTACTGAATAAACTATATTGATAGTTCAATTTTCTTCTTCCCTAGTGGTCCCCTATTAAACTTTTCCAAACCAACACTAACAAATATAGAAGAACCAAGATCTAGAGGCCCATGTCTGAAGATGACATATTACTGTCCCCTTCTTCAAGAGGGATGAGAGGGTGTGCAGGACCCTTTGACCCCAACCAAAGCACCGCCTCCCCACGTTGAACATCTCCCTCCTACCAAACAGCAGCCAAACAGACCCTGTTTCACAAATGGCAGTGGATCTCCTGGGGAGCAGGCTTGTTTAATTGGGTTTTCAGAGCCAGAATTAATATTACAAACCGGGGAGCTGTGTGATCTGCTTGTGCCTCTGGCTCCACCACACTGCCAGCCTTCCCGGGGGGGATGGCAGAAAAGTGACACCATTCAGTAGCAATTTTACTTCTGTCTGGGCCTTCTCACCCAAGTGATTTGCAGCTGTCAGGAACCAAGCAGGCAGGCTTGATCTTCACAAGCTCAAGGTCACACCTAGAGCAGGCTTTTCTCACCGCCGATCTACGTGACTTTCTAATATATTTAGTATTTGCCTTCCCCCCCCCCCCCCGTTTTCATTCTGCTTATTAAGATAAATTTTGATGGAAATGGGATCATGGTTTTCAGGACCATTCACTCGACACCTGATCTCTTAAGGTGACCAGTGTCTACTGCGGATACCGTGAGGGTGACCCACAAAAGTCCTGTCGCCCTGCAAACCAGAGGCAAGGCTTTAATTAGGAAAGGTTCGAGTGGTGCGGTAATGGGACGAATCACTTCAGCAAACAGCATTTGTCTTCAGGAAGAAGGGCAGAATGCTCCTCCCTGTTCAGTGGGTTGACCTAGGCCACCAGCACGTTAATTTGCCTCCGATGGACGGATGCTGAAGAGAGTGTACGGGAAGGAACGTTTCTGTGCTGTCGCTGTGTGGAGATAAGTTGTGACAGGAGGGAGCACACCGAGAGTCGAAGATGGCGTTTTATTTGGCTCCTGAGCAATGCTTCCCTCGCTCTGTGTTTTTGGAGATTGGGAATAGTCGGCTCTCACAAATTTTTTTTGGGGGGGGGAGGACAAAGCAGACTAGGAAGTCATCGTCCTGGGTCCCTCCCTATTGCCCTGCCAGTGGCTCTAATCTGCTAAGGGCTCCCTGCTGCACCCTGCTACCTGCCGCCACCTTCCTGATGTCCCCAGATCTTGAGAGGGACAGAGTTTCTGAGAAAACTATTTGCAGTCCCAGTTTCCTGATTACTGAGAGCCCACTAGGTCTGAGGACTGGCTCGTTCGCTCACCCAAAGGGCCTGAGAATTAGTGAAAATGTGTAAAGCACAAATGCCAAACCACAGCTTTCCAGACAGCTGCCCCGACAGTAAGCTGTCTTAGCGGAGGATCAGAGGATGTGACGGTCCTGCTGATTAAGTGCCACCGTCAGTGAGAAGAGTTTATAGGACACAGGTGCCACTTCAGACTGCCTTAGCTGGGAAGAGATTTGTCCCCTAAGATTAGGGTTATCATTATCTTGCTACAGGATGCCATATAGCCCAGGCTGGCCTCCAACTCTCTAGTAGCCAAGGATGACCTCGAACTTCTCATCCTCCTGCCTCTGCCTTTAGAGCACTGGGCTTACAGGGGTGTATTGCGATGGCTGGTTTATGTAATCCTGGGGATGGGATTTCTCATGCATGCCTGACAAGTAGTCCATCAAGAGAACACCTCTCTAGCCAATAAAATTGCTTTAAAACATGTTCAGGGCTCTGGAGAGATGGCTCAGTGGTTAAGAGCACTGACTGCTCTTCCAAGGACCCTAGTTCAACTCCCAGAACCCACGTGGCAGTTTACAATTGTCTGTAACTCCAGTTCCAGGGGATCCAACACCCGAACATGGACATACATGCCGGTAAAACACCAATGAACATAAAATAGGAATAAATGAATCATTTAAAAACATAAATATTCTCTAGCTGTACTGTGTATAGTATCTGCAACTATCATTTAACTCCAGTTCACAACTTGATCCACTGAATATTAAGGTTTTTCATTCTAAAGATGAAGAAATAGATTTCCAGAGATTTAGTTGCTTAGCCAAGATCACATGTGCACACACACACACACATACACACACCCCACTAGTATTCCACTCTGTTCTTTGTGACATTCCCTACAGCTCCTTCAGTTTTTTTCCATATTTAATGTAGTATATAGGTGGGCACAGTGATCAGTACATGGGTGTTACTGGGAGGAAAGTTAACTTGATATTAAATTTTATAATTTAATATCAAAATTGAATTTTCTGAAATGTACTTGAGTTCCATCATGATGTTAAGATAAGCTATTGGACAGACTGAGTTTCCCAGCTCAAAAACTGAAATGCTTCCTACTGTCAAACCGGGCAGAAGGATGCTGAGTTCCCCATTGGCCAATACTGTCTAATTCTCTTAAATGATTCAGATGTAAAAGGGAAAATGGCATCTGTCTAATTAACACTGCCTGGTTAAATATAGCTGCCAAGGGACAGCCGAGGGACAGAGTTTACTAAGCAGTCTTTCTAGCCCCCTGGGCCTCAAGGTCCAGTTGATAGCAAGCCTTCTGTCCTTATCAGCGAGAAACAGAGATGCCCCCCAGAAGCAGCCGCAGCCACAGCAGGCCAAGGGAGCTGGAGGGAGAGGGGCTGGGCTGTCGCTGGCTGTAGTTCCCACTCCTGGTGTCTAGAGGTTCAGAGAATGAGTCTGGGAACCAGATCTGGAAGGCTGCAGCAGCTCTTGTTGCAAACATGAGCTCTGGCCCTGCACGGCCCTCTCGGCTGCCTGAGCCTAGCTCTCCAGCCTGCAGACATTCACTGAGCCACCTTCCTGCCCACTGCTGAGCCTGCCAGGCAGTGCCATCTGCTTTGCAACCCGTCCCTGGTGGAAAGACACAATGACCACATTGTTTCTCTTCCAGCTTCTTGTCAAGACATGGAAGCTATTGCCAAGTTTGATTTCATGGCCTCCGGTGAAGATGAACTGAGCTTCCACACTGGAGATATTCTGAAGGTAGGTGATGCGGGGTCCCAGGGGACTGGGAAGGGGCTGAGGTTCTCTAACAACCTATGCCTTTGTCTCTGAAAGAATGTGCACAGCTCTTGTTCTTTTTCTTTTTTTACTCTTAATTTTTTTTAAAGAGTTTCAAAACCAGTTTTGAGAGCGTGCCTGTAATCCTAGCACTCAGCATGTGGAGGCAGGAGGATTAGGAGTTCAATGTAGCTTTGACTACATTGGGAGTTTGAGGTCAGTCTGAGCTACATGAGACCCTATCTCAAAACAAAAACAAAATAGAGAAAGGAGAGAAGGAGAGAGAAAGGAGAAGAAGAGGAAGTCTCAAAGTTTATTTCTAGGGTCACCTACTGACCACCCATACATAGACAAATGCTACCGCTGATATCAAGCCTTAGCCCCTGGAAGACATTCAGAGGAACAGGAAAGACATGTGTAGGGCCTTCGCTATAGAGGACACAAGTGTTATGTCCCTCATCTCAATAGCATCCTGGATTCCTGCTGGGCAAACGAAAGAGTCATTGTGTATATGTGCATGTGTGTATGCATATGCACGTATGCACACAGGTGTGCATGCATATGTGTACATGTGCACATGTATGTGTTTGCCCATGTACATGTATGCACGTAAGTGTAGAGTCCAGGAGTTGATATCGGGTGTCTTTCTCCTTTGCTCTGGCACGGTGGGCTATTTACTGCCTGAACGCTCTGCCAGCCCCAGAGTAGCCATTCTTAAGAAGCCTGACCTTGAGCACAGCATGATGCAGTTCCATACAAAGAGAAGTGCACATCCCCACCAAGCACTCCTTCGAGGAACCTACATGCTAGACACTGGGTTAGGAGACAGAAATTCAAAGCTGGTATAAGTCACACTCCTTCTCCCACCATACTTGTGGCATGAAGTGGGCAACACAAGCCTCTGACGGGCTATCCTAGACGCCATCAGCTTAGCGCTCAGGAACACGGGCGGGGAACATGAGACTCTGCCTTGAAAGGAAGAGGGTGGAAAAGAACAGCAATGTGAACGCCACTAAGCTCATAGAAAGCTGGACTTCAAATGAAAAGGGTGCAGGTGGAGGTAGCAGGAGAGAGGCAGCAGACTTGAGGCAACCTGACAGCGGCTGTGCACACCGCACCACTAAAGAGGCTCCATAAAAATTGTTTCCAAGCCCTGCTTGGGGTGTAGTGGCCGATTGCGGAGCTGAAGTAACCTTGGACTTTTTCAGCGTTTCGGGCGTCCATATGCACACTCCCCTGTGATTCGTAAAAGAATATGAACCTCTCCATAGGATATTCAGGAGCCCATGGTGATGGTGTACCCCTGTCTGACCTCGGGGCACCCTCCAGGAGCATCCCTCAGCTGCCCCGGTGACCCTCTCGCATGACCACTGTCACCAAGACCACTGTTGTATCTCGCCATAGAGAATTATGGGCTATACAAAGGCCCTCATTGGGGTGTTAGAGGACAACTTGGAAAGTGTCCCCAGAGCACATGCGTGTAGAATAGAATGGCTTCATTTGTCCCTTAACGCCCCCCACACCTCCCGCACACAGTGTGTAACCTAACTGCTTTCAGCTTAAAAGATTCAGTGACGTGGTGGACCCCGCAGTATCCCAAGATTGAGGTTTTATAAGCTAAAATATGTCTGGGCTACTCATTGAAGAAAAGGTGGCTTTTACTGGGGTCACAGAGACATTTGTCATGTGATGAAAAGTTCCTCCCTCTCTCCTCTGTGGGGCATCGTGACTATTCAGATGCCCACCAGCTCCCGGCCTTATGCTGATCACGCCTAGAACCCGAAGCCTTGCTCAGGCTCCCCTGTTACCTTCTGTCATACAGAAGAGTGGAAGGAAAACCAAGCAAATGGCCATTCCCTCAGCTCTGCTTCCCAGTCTGGCTCCTTAGCTATCTCCTCTCCTCTGTTGCTCAGAGGGAAACGGTTCCCTGCCCTGGATGCCCCCCACTTCTCTCTTTGCTCCAGGGCCCTTTGAAGTCTGCCCTTACTTCTGTCCTGGCTTCCAGTTGCTGTGATAAACACCAGGACCAAAAGGCACTTGGGGAGGAAAGGCTTTGTTTGGCTCACACTTCCATACCAAAGTCCATCACTGAGGGAAACCAGGGCAAGAACTCAAGGCAGGAACTGAAACAGAGATCCATGGAGGAAGGCCGCTTTCTGATTCATGGTTTACTCAGCTACCGTTGTAATACAACCCATCTGCTCAGGGATGGCACCGCCCACACTGGGTTGTATCCCCCTCCTCCAATCACTCATTAGTCAAGAAAATGCCCCCACAGACTTGCCTATGGACCAATCTGATGAAGACATTCCCAGATGATCTAACTTGTGTCAAGTTAACAAAACGCCACCCAGCACATGCTGCAAACTCCTTCATGTGACTAGAATGTTCTCCCAAGACACCTATGGAAAGAGACTCTACTGACTCTACTGGCTGCCCCTCTCCTGGAGCTCTTTCCCCTTGCTCAGAGGCACTCCTCTCTCTCAATCCCTCTCCCACTTCCTCTCCCTCTCTTCTCCTGAGTTCTCTTATGGGTCTTGTTCGTGAGCACTCCCGTCCCCTCTCTAAGCTGATATATTCAGCTCCCTGAAGCTCAGCCCTTGACCTTCTGATTCTTCTTCTTGATTTGAAGCACCTCACCCCTTCTCTGGCTCTCTGCTAAGGATCCTCCAGTTTGTACCTTGCTCCCTCACTAACCTCTGCTTTGAACCTCAGAACCAGTGATCTGCTGGCTGTTACCTGGTGGACTCCAGCCCCTGGCACCAGGCTCATAAAACCCCTATACCAACCTCACCCCAACTTCCATCCAGGCTATCCCTCTGCCTGTGATCAAAGTATCATGAAAGGTCAGTCAGTACACAATCCCCTTGCCAAATCTGGGCAGTCAGGGCTGTCACCAGCTGAGTTCCTGTTGCAAGCCAAGACTGGCACAGGGGCTGCACGTACCCTGCAGCACCTCAGCAAGCCTAGGAGGTGGCTTTCTCCACTCTGTAGGTGTGAAACCAAGGCTGAGGGATTAAGCCATGTGTCAAGATGACACAGGCAGACAGTGACTGCTCCAGCAGCTGGGTGGGACTCTGTTCCCAATGCACAACCTCTGTTCTAAATACATTTCTTTCTCCAAGTCCCCCAAGGAAGGCTCTTCTCCATTAGGGGAAAAAAAGAAGGTGTGATGCTGGAAAAAAGAAACATAGGTTTTGTAGCCATATAAATATGGATTCAATTTCCAGCCTGTGAGCTGTATGGCTTGGGCCTAGGCACCTGCTGATTTAAGCATCAGCGTCCACCTCTATCTATGGAGGCATTACCTATCCTGCAGAGTCCAGGAAAGTAATTAAAGGTAATGGCCCTGGCCCAGAACAGCTACTGAGCAAGTGATGGCCATATTATCACCAGCCCCTGCCTTCCTTCTCTCTCTGCCTGCACAGATGATCGCACAGCCCCTTGCCTGACCTCATTGCCTCCTGTCTCTTCCTTGTTCAGTCATTCTGCATACTGGTCCCAGAAGGACTTTCCTAGAAGATGAATCAAATTGTGTCATTTCCTGGCTCAAAAGTACCCAGGGGTTCCTATTAACAATGGATTGAAATCTAAACCATTTGACTCCAACACACTTCCTAGTCTCGTCACCCTCACGCCCAAGTGCATCTTTGAGGACACACTGCCCTTGCCCCCCTCATAGTATACATCGGCCTGTCTCAGGCTCCTCCTCATTCTCCAAGTGTCCTTTTATATATGACCCTCTATCAAGAGACCCCCTCACTGATCCTCTCCCTTCCTTACCACCCCTGTCCCAAGCAAAACTAAACCCTCTTCTTGCCCCCAGGCAGGCTGTACTTCCAGGGCCTTCTCACATTGCCACATGCGATCTAGTTGTCCATTTCCCTGTTAGCTGCCCCACTAGCCAAAGTTTTATAGGAATGAGGGTCACACATGCTTCTGTATCTCTAGGAGCAGAAAGTTACTTTTACTAATGTTGGATGGATGGATGGATGGATGGATGGATGGATGGATGGATGGATGGCTCTTCCATTGGTGAGCTCCCTGAGAGCAGACAGACTCCAGCGCAACTTTGTGGCTTCTCCGCATCTAGCACAAGTCACATCCCCAAACAGGGACCCAGTATATATGTCTTGACCTGGGAAAGGGCATCTATGTGACCATTTAGAACTCCATCAGAAAGCCAACCCTGCCCACCCTTTCAGATTCCGCCTGTCGCAGCTATAGTGGTAAAGAACAAAGAAAGCACAAAGAGCCTGGGACAGAGCTCTCATTTTTAATGGTGGCCCTTAGTGACCAAGGCAGTCACTCCCATCCTGAGGCAAAAAACACGCCCAGGGATTACTGCAAACCATTTCAAAGCCAGCTCTTGAGTGCCTTGAAATTCACTTTGAGGTGCTCAGGTTTCTTGATTGACCTTTGGTGCTTAAGATTAAACAGACTTGCTCATTAGAGAAGGACAAAGAGGTACCTGGGTAGGTTCCCAGCAAGTCTCTCCACTTCTTCTCTGCACTCATGTTAATACAGTAGGCACTGACTAGATGCTGATCTTCATGGACTGGCAGACAAGATGGTGGGTGAGGGAGCTCTGCCAAGTGGCTTGATCTATGTTCTTCAGGGAAATAAACACTTGGAAAGGACATTGGGAGTCACACTTTTCATGCTCATACCAGTTTGTCCCTACCTGTTTCTGTAGTGTGTCCAAGTCGACCCCATTTCTTCTGACTGAGAGGCCTAAAAGCGCCAGCCTAATCCCACACAATTAACTTCCGCAATGCTTCAGCTTCCCACTGTGCCTCTGAGAGCTCCATTTCCGTCCAATTTTACCTTTGTTCCCAGCTGGTCTTTTGGCCTTTCTCTTCCCACATCTAGCTTATGCTCAGGCCATGTAACCTAGAAAATTACTCTCTTAGGGAACATTTTAAGAAAGACGATACAGCAATTTAAGTGCAGAACTTCGTGTGTTTGGGCTGAACTCCTTGCTCGGGTTTACATGATGGGTACAAGAGATAGGGGGAACTGATGGAGAGATGAGAACAGGAAGCTTTGGGGCTCAGGGCCCACAGCAGCAGGAGGAAGCCACCACCCCTCAAAAAAAACACCCCACTTTTCTTTGCAGAAAAAATGAGATTAAGAAAAAAAACTTTTATATACCATAAAATGCCTGTAAATCGCCTCTCTGGAAACACAGTCTCTGGCAGATCAAGCCCCAGGTGGTGGAGACTAATGGCTGGCTGGCTGTCAGGGACGATTTTTAGTTTCTAGAGGGGGTAGATGAGCACCAGGCCTGATTACTCAGATTGCGGCTTGTTTCGGGTCAGAGAGCGAAGTACGGGGTGTGATTTGCACCGTGATAAGCCAATTTCCAAATGGCGTCTTTCACCTCACCCCTGCTCACTTTGGATCTGACATTGGTTACCCTGGCCAAGCCACCTCTCTTCTCCCCCTTTCTCCACCTCCCGCCTCCCCTATCCCTCCTGATAACAGAAACAAATTCCAAAGCTGTCAATTCCGGAGCAGTGTACGGAGGGAAGCGGTCTTGTGCCGTTTAAATGGATAGAAGATGCCACTGCTGTGTCTTCTCGCCTTCCCCTGACCTAGATTGTGTGTTTCCCCTCCCCCTCACTCCCCTCAGCATACACAGACCCACACCCATCCTCGGCAAAGCCCAGAGCCATTTGATGTTAGAAAGTTCTCTGTTCTCAGCAATTCTCGAGCTCAAATATGGGCCATGCTTTTACTGCTACAGAACAAATGATTGTAGCCCAAACATGCAAGTACAATGTTTGCAAGAATTACAAACCCTTCCACTACAATGTTTGCAAGAAGTACAAACCCTTCCATGTCTTTCAGAGCTGGAATCCTCCCTCATAAAGATACTGTGCTGAGCAGAATAATATGTGTATTGTGTGTATGTATATATGCATGTACATATATATATTTTAAAAGAATATATACCAGCCAGGTGGTGGTGGCACTTGCCTTTAATCCCAGCACTCAGGAGGCAGATACAGGCAGATTTCTGAGTTCATGGCCAGCCAGGTCTACAGAGCCAATTCCAAGACAGTCAGAGTCACACAGAAAAACCCTGTCTGTCTTGAAACAAACAAACGAAAACAACAACATCAAAGGAATGTATACCTTCAGAAGGATGTTCATGTGGCAGAACTCTGTCAGCTCAGCTCAGCTCTGTGAGGCTTAAGTGGGTTGCTATTACCCCTGCTTTTCAAATGGCTAATTGTTTTGTCTTGTGTCACACAGCTAGTGACAGAATTGGAGCTAGAAACCAGGTTTGGGTTTTTTGTTTTGTTTTGCTTTTCAAGACAGGCTTTCTCCTAGCTATCCTGGAACTAGCTCTTTTAGACCAGGCTGGCCTCAAACTCACAGAGATCCACCTGCCTCTGCCTCCCAAGTGCTGGGATTAAAGGTGTAGGCCCCCACCACCTGGCGAAACCAGGTTTTCTTGTTCCAAACCTGATGGCACCGTTCCTTATCTTCCACTTTAGCAGTAATGCAATGCCAGGCATGATGGTGCACACTTTTAATGCCAGCTCTTGGGAAGCAAATGCAAGATGATCTCTGTGAGGTCAAGACCAGTCTGGGTCTCTACAGTGAATTCTAGGGCATCCAGGGCTACATAGTAAGCCCCTGTTTCAAAAGAGAAAAATAAAATAAAATAAGTAGAGCCTAGGCCTGGGGTGTGGCTCAACTGGTAAAGAGCTTACCTCGCATGCAGGGAGCCCTGGAGACTATTCCCAGCACTGCTGGGTGTGGTGATGTTTGCTTACAATCTCAGAACAGAGGCAGAAAGATTAGAGATTCAGGACCACCATCAGCTGCATAGGGATCAGGAGGCCAGCTTAGGGTATATGAAACCCTGTCAACAGAAGGAAGAGAGGAAGGAAGGAAGGAAGGGAGGAAGGAAGGGAGGAAGGGAGGGAGGGAGGGAGGAAGGAAGGAAGGAAGGAAGGAAGGAAGGAAGGAAGGAAGGAAGGAAGGAAGGACTGGCTTTTGCTATGGGAGAGAGAAATCCAAGGGACTCAGGACTTCCAGTTCTACCCCTTCTGGATGACTCTCGGAAACCCCAGGCACCAGCCCCCGGCTCTCCTACGTCCAGTAAATACATCCACAGCTCACTGAGTTTTTCTTCTCAGTTGAAGAATTCAGCTGGAATTCACCCACTACAAGCTGAAGCCCACAAGTCCCTCCTGCTCCTCCTGCTCCTCTCTATTTCAGTAAAGACATCACCACCCACTCAGTCTCCCAAGCTAGAAATCCAAAGTTTTCCCAGAATCCCCTTCTCTCTCAGCTACCCCAAATGGTTACAAAACCCTGCCTGATTTTACTTCCTCGAATCCTCCGAACTAGGTCCTTGCCTCTTCTTAGCTCAGACCCCATTATCCCTTACCTGGTGGGCGACACCCATCTTCCTTCTGTTCCTCCCCTGGTTTTACCCCACCCCCAGCTCGTCTTCAAAAGTCCTCCTTCACTCTCATTCTTACTGTCATTTCCTGGCTTAAAATGGTTTGGGGGTTCTCTATAAAATCTGAAGATGAAAATCCAGAAACTTCAACCATGAGCCGCAAGGCCCAGTACTTCTAACTTCCCCCAGCTAAATCCCAGTTCGGATGAAGACACTAAACTCCAAGAAGCGGTTCCTCAGTCATCACGTTTGATCTCATCAGCTCATTGCATTGTCTGGAGAGGCCTGTCCCATCTTTCCCATCTTCCCATCTTCCCTCTGCTCTCCCCCGACCCCCACCCTGGCATCTCCACCCATGAAAAAGAACACATTCAACTACAAGAACGAGACAATGACTTAAGCCATAGCAGAGTTAATATTCCTTCAGGTCAGGAACGGGAGAGGGACTGTCAGAGACGCCAGCGACTTGGTGGCACTGCCACGGGGTTCCCAGTCTCTTACGTGGCCACCCTTGGGTAGAGCCACTGTTTCAGTCTAGGCCCACATCCTTTAGAAACATTTCCAGTGGAGATAACAAATACTTTCAAGGGTGTCTCATGTTCTGAAATCAATGAACACCCAGACAGTCATGTCTGCTGAGTAATCTGAGTGACCAAGGCAGGTGACCACATGTGGGTAGCGGTCGAGAAGGGTCCTGCAGTAAGGAGACAGAACTCTTGACTTTGTTCAGGATCTGATTCTGAGTTTATAGAAAGCATCCCAAAAGTGTCTCTGTGGAGAACCCCCCTGCCACCCTCTTAAGTTCTCACTCTGTGACCTGGAATGCACTATTACATTGCTCAGGCTTGCCTCCAACTGACAGGAATCTTCCTGCCTCACCTTCCTGAGTGTTGAGATGACAGGCACAAGACACCACACCTGTACTGTCATCCCAAGTACGGTGAGTCCTATCCCAACCATTTTCAAAATTCAAAACGGGAATATAAACATTATAGTTTAGAAAGCTGGTCTTGCTTAGATATCTAAGTTTTAATCTCCTTGTTAAAAATAAATCTTTGGTCGGGCATGGTGGTCTACCTCTACAATCCTGGTACTTGGAAGGTAGAAGCAGGATGATCAAGAGTTCAAAGCCATTCTCTACAGTGAGTGCCAGGCCAGCTTGGGCTATGTGAAAATCAACTGATGAAGTAGAGGCTGATGAGACAGCTCAGGAAGTGACTTCGACCCCTGGGACCCACAAGGAAGGAGAAGGCCACCAAAAACTGTCTTCTGACTCCAATAGACATGCTGTGAATACACACACAGATACGTGCATGCACATAAATAAATAAATGCAAAAACACTAAAATTGTAATAAAGGATTCAGGGCATGGTCTGAGTGCTTGGTCTGAGCTATGATGGAGTGACCTGAGTAAGCGGCCTTGAATGGAGAAAAATATTGGAGTAAAAAAAAAAAGGCAAATAATCAGAGAGTTAACCCGTGATGCTCCCTCCTTCCCCACTAAGCCCTAGAGCGGATGTCCTATCCGGTCCCTTAGGCTCATTCCTCTTTGCCCTACAGTCCCTTCGTGTCCTCTCATCATTGTTCTCCCCCTCTCTCCCCCCCAGATACTAAGCAACCAAGAGGAGTGGCTCAAGGCGGAGCTCGGAAGCCAAGAAGGATATGTGCCTAAGAATTTTATAGATATCCAGTTTCCTGAGTAAGTATTTCCAGCCTGCCAGGCTGGGTCTACCCACACATGCTCCCCTTACTTTTTCAGTCGTCACTAAAATTATCCACGCATACCCAAGGAACTGTCAGAAATGGCTGCCTCTGGAGATCTCCCTCCCCAGCCTCCAGAACCTCACAGCGGAAGGCCAGGGTGGGAGGAAGATTTATCTGCATGGCATCACAGTCCCTTCTGAGGTTTACACCGTGTGCATGGATCTCCTACTTAAAAAAAAATTATATAAAAAATGAACTTCTAACTTAAAAATCACCTATAATGAACGCAGTGACAGAACCGCCAAGAATTCCACAGGGGGCGCTGTTGGACATCCCATTTCAAAAGCCATTCTTCATAGCTCTTCTCCATGATTGCCTAAGGTTGTGTTCCACCCTAAGCAGGGATCCCAAACAGTCTCTGCTTGCTCACCCCAGTCAGAGAGAGGGGGGAGGGGGAAGGGAGATTCCCTCCAGAAAGAGGAAGTGAAACACTGAGATTGGGCTGTGTTTGTCTCAAGAATTGACCACAAGGGTTAGATAGAAATCTAATCTTGTCTTAGAGCCAGGGTCTAGCCTCAAGAGTGTAGCCTTTATAAAACATCGTGGTAGTATTGATGACCCTAACCGGGTGTCACTTTCCATGACCCAGGAGAGACGGTTGAACCAAAAGTTTGACCACTGACCTTCAATGGGCCCTTAGTGCCGCTATAATCTGCTAGGTGGCCACTGCATGCCAGTGACTCTGTCTGCCACCTTCCTCCCAGGTGTGTGTGTAGGAGGGAGGAGCACCAAAAGAGACGCTCCTTGGGCCCCTCCCCCTCCCTCGGGACCTCTTGCACTGGACCAGCACCTCCTGCAGCCACATTCGGATGCAGCTGTCCTGCCTCCAGTAGAGACATCCCCTTTCCTCCCTTCTATTTTCTGTCCCTCTGCTGGAGCGTTCCTGTCAACCAACAGGCTTGCGGCAATCACGCACGTCTTCAGTGAGATATACAAATGAGGAACAAAACCAAGAAACTGCTGGTTCCAACCCCTTCCAGTTTTCCTTTCGTTTCTTCAAAAGCGTTTGAGTTCCCTGTTTCCAACTCCACCTGCCCATCCCCGTGGCTCCCCCAGGACTCCTGTCAGCAAGGTCCCAGCCAGCTGCACATTGCTGCAGTCCTTTCTCAGCCGTCCTCTCGGCATCGTAGGACCTCCTTCCCACTGGTGCATCTTCTGTGACGTCCGCAGTGCCTCTTGGTCTGGCCCCCTCCTCTTGGTCCTCCAGTGCCCTAGCTGCTTCTCTTCAGTCTCCTTTGCTAGGTCCTCCTCACCCCACCCTTATTCAGTAAGCCTTTCTTATTACCATTTTTTCCCAATAGGGGTGTGTGTGTGTGTGTGTGTGTGTGTGTGTGTGTGTGATTATGGATTCATGTGGAGGCCAGAGGACAACCTTATGTGTCACCTGTAGGAATATCATTGACTTCTTTTGAGACAGGACAGTTAGGTTAGGCTGGCTAGCCAGTGAGCCCCAGGGACCTTCCCATTTCAGCCCCCCCAGTCCCGGAATGACGGGGTACATCATGACACTGGGCTTTTACATGGGTGCTGGAGATCAGAGTCAAGTTGTCGCACTTTCAAAGCAAGTACTTTGCCGATGGGGCCGTCTCCCCTGACCATTTCAAGTGACTTCCCACCCCAGCGTCCTGTCCACTTTGTTTTCTCTCCTGGCTCACAATCCCTGGGCCTGCCGTTTTGATTATTCTGATGTTTATCCTGTATCTCCGGAGCCACCTACAATGTCAGTTCCCTGAGAGTGAAGTCACTTGTCTGTTCTGTTCACCACTGTTTTCCTAGCTCCAAGAAAATGGTCCCGTGAGTTCCAAGATGTCAATAAAAGCTGTCAGACTGCGGGGCTGTGGTGGCGCACGCCTTGAATCCCAGCACTCTAGGAGGCAGAGGCAGGTGGATCTCTAAATTCAAGCCAGCCTAGTTTATTCCAGAATATCCAGGGTTGTAGAGAGATACCCTATTTCAAAGTAATTAATTAATCAATTCAAACCAGAAGAAAAACACAAAACAAATAATAAGAAATATCAAATAAGTGAGAGAGTAGCTTTTGAGTAACAAGGACGCTTGAAAGCCTGGCCTCCTGTGTCTGATACAAAATGTATGTAAATTTTTGGAAATCTTAAAAAAAGAATCCCATGCTAATTCTAGTCAGAGAATGTAGCTTTCTTAAACATTCCTACCTGCCTGCTGCCTCTGCTGAAATCTTTCCTGCCGCGGAGCGCACTGGCCTCCGCCTCCTGTCGGTGTGTGTTTTCTACATGTGGCAGTCAACTGTTCAGCCCTGAAGAGGCAGAAGACACCAGAAACCCCAGGCTTCAGGCCCTCTGAGCACCACCCACCATCTGCCGTCGCTCAGGTCTGGAAGAAGAGTGACTCCTGCTAGCTGGGTCCGGAGTCGAGGATCTCAAATTCCATAACGCACAAAGGAGTCGGAAGCTGAGGCCTGCCGTGCATGTACATTTGTCCTGAAGGGACGTGGGCATTAATTAGCGTTCTGATGGCAGCAATTAGAGTAGAAGCAGTTTGATGGGGTCCCACCTCTGCCAGCTGGGATGGAAACCCTCGTTCTAGCGCGGAGAGGAGTTTGTGATCTCCTGCCAGCAACTGCAGCCGCTGTTCCCCTTACCTGGTGTGTTTGATTTTTTTTTTTTTTTTTTTTTTTTTTGACATTCCAACCATTGCCACCCTGACTGTGCTCTGGGAAATTTGGTTTCTCTTCCATTTCTGTTTCCCCAGTAAAGACGTTTCCAGCCTGGATTTTTGTAGGGGATGACCTCAGAGCACAGGGATTGGCTCACCAAAGAGTCAAAGGAGCTGTCTGGAGCTGCTGTTAGACTTTCTTATCTCCAACTGTAGGCAAGAATTCCTGGACACTTGGCAGTTTCTGCTGGACACAGCAGTCAAAGCCCCTGAAGCTCCCATGTCAGCCCAAAGAGCCTGAACCCCTGAGCTGGAACTGTCCTGAATGCGCCTGGGGGAAAGTGCCCTGCCCCTGACATCTCGGGAAGGGAGTGGGTGCTCAGGTCTTGTCTATAGCTTGGCCTGGAGCCCGGCCTCCATGCCTGCAGCGGCCCTTTTCTTTCCCAAACATCCACTCCTCTGCTGTCATTTCCTCCTGGCAGGTGGCTGCATCCCGCAGGGAGTCACTCCCACATGGCCCCATTTTGCTCTGCAGCAGCAGACTTCCAGGATTCAAGTTTTTGCAAGCTACAGAGAAATTTCTGGAGGGAAGGAAGGAGGAGAGCAAGTCCAGAGGAGTGGCCCATTGCTTCCCTGAGAGCTGAGAAGTGCCTTCGCTAGGTTTTAGACCAAGTGCTGCAAACTCTGAGTCAAGGCCCCCGGCCTCCTCCCTTCAGTCACCTCTTTTCCATGTCCCTTCTCCTTCCCCACCACCAGCATGTGTCTCAGAGAACTCTTTTGCCCTCTTGCTACAGGTGGTTCCATGAAGGCCTCTCTCGACACCAAGCAGAGAACTTACTCATGGGCAAGGAAATTGGGTTCTTCATCATCCGGGCCAGCCAGAGCTCCCCAGGAGACTTCTCCATCTCTGTCAGGTACTGGCTACTCCGAAGCCCACCTTGACCCTTCTCAGGTTGCCCCTGCTGAAGCTGGGAGGTTACCCAGTGATCAGAAGCCTGGTGGCATCCCTTTAACTATTTCCTCCCCAGAACGTGTGTCCTCAACTCCTCCATACACTGATTTCTGTTCAGAGTGATGTACTAGTGTAGTAGTGGGGGTGCACACCTTTAAACTCAGCGCTCAGGAGGCAGAGGCAGGCGGATCTCTGTGAGTTCAAGACCAGCCTGGTCTACAGAGTGAGTTCCAGGACAGCCAGAGCTACATTAAGAACCATTTGGAGAAGGGAAAAAAAAATATCTTGTCTGGCCCAGATATTTCCAGAAAGCAAGTTGTCCTGCTTTATATGGGTGCTCTGAAGAGAGCACAGTCTACAGATGTCAAGGAGGTCTGTGGAAGGAGGGGAGGGAACGAATGCCCACTTAACGGTCTGTCTGGAAGTCCAAACCTTGACCTTTCCCGTTTCTGTCAATAGAGGGCTGAAGAGAGGTGAGAGAAAGGCAGAAATCCCCAGTCACTGCTGTGGGAAGCCGCTGGGCAGAGCCAGGCTGCTTTCACACAGCAAGGTCCTGGCAAAGCAAAACTGAGAAGAGCAGGGCCGAGTTGAGGAAGGCCCCAGGTGAGGGGGTCAGAAAGAACTGTGACACTGTAACTCTTATAGGAAGTGACTAAGTCCAGGCAAGGACATGACACAGACCTACACTGAGAAACCCCAGATCTGAACCCAGTGAGTGTGGTCAGCGTGTCAAAGGCTGCAGGTCAGACTTGATGACCGCCTGACTAAAGTGCATGAACTGCAGCTCCTAGCAGAGGAGAAGGCTGGAGCCTGCACAGGACACACCTCCTGCCTGGTGACTTGATAGACAGCGCTGCCCTGCATTCGCTGATGGGTTTCAAAAAGTGTGAGGCTTTATTGCTTCCTGTGCAGAAATCTTATCTCTTGTGATAAACCGTAGCTGCTTTGTTATATAGAGAGGAAGGATCTTTAACAAGTAGGTAAGAGGGACTAATAAATGACGGGCCAGCCATCTATAGGCATGTGCACCTCAAGCATGCTTGCAAATACCACCAACCTTGACTCCTTACTAAAATGTAAAGAACGTATTTATTTATCGTATGTATATATCGTATATATGTGGTGGCTGAGGGCTATCTATGCATATGTGAAGGTCAGAACTCCTTCTAACCTGTGGGTCCCAGGGACTGAACTTAGGGCATCAAGTTTGAGGGCAGACACCTTTACCTGCTGTCTTAGTCACTGTTCTATTGCTGTGAAGAGACACCATGACCTAGGCAACTCTTAGAAAGAAGGGGGTTGTTTACGGTTTCAGAAGGGGGTTGTTTACGGTTTCAGAGGCTTAGTCCTTTACTGTCATGGCAGGAAGCATGGCAGCATACAGGCAGACGGTGCTGAAGAAGTAGTTGAGAGCGGCATCCTGGTCTGCAGGCAGAGAGAGACACTGGGCTTAGGATGGGCTTTTGAACCCTCAAAGCCCACCTCCAGTGACGCACTTCCTTCAACATGGCCACACCTCCTAATCCTAGGTATTTAAATATATGAGCCTCTGGGGGCCATTCCTATTCAAACACCACATCCACAGAGCCATTTCACTAGCCCTATACTCCTAGTTTTTCTGAACTAAAACTTCATAACTTGAGCAATCACAAATTGGCTCAAGCCAATATTATTTAATATCAAATTCTAAACTCATTGGATCTTCATTAGTGAAATTTTGTCCTATTAATAAACCTTATCAGTCAAACCTATTTTATTTTGATTTTTTTACTTTTTCTATAAAGTTATGTGTACACGGATAGGTGTTTTGTCAAGCAGCAACAGGATGTTTGTTGTGATTGCTGAGAGGGAGTGAGTGAAAACTTATTACACACAAGCAATACTTCCTTCTCTATGAGTGGTGATATTATGTCTTAAAGAAAACCATGATTAGTGCCCAAACTCCTGGGGAAGACCAGCAATAATGGCCATGTGTCAGTTTCCACCCCAAATCAGTTGGGCAAAAAGTGACTGTACTACCTTTGACTTCCCTTGGCTAGGAGCAGAACCCAAATAAAAGATGAGAATAAAGGCCCAGAATTCCTGTTCCCTCCAACCCAGACCCCTAATCCATCCCTAAGAAGCCTCCACTTACCTTCAGATGAATCTCTGCTCTCCAAAGCCCTTGTCAACTCTTTTTCTGCTGGAACCAGCCTTTGACAACACTAATACTCATGCACCGGCAACATGCAAATGCAGGTCTGTTTGGGGGGGGCTTTATTTTATTTGATTTTTTGTTTTGTTTTTCAAGACAGGGTCTCTCTGTATAACCTGGCTACCTTGGAACTCACTCTGTAGACCAGGCTGGCCTTGAACTCACAGAGATCTACCAGCCTCTGCCTCCTGAG